TTCAAATATACTGGCAACAAACAGCATGCATGCTCATAGGGAACTAGTGGTTTAATGAATACACCAAAATGTAAAGGGGCGTAAGGCAAGGACGCATCTTCTCACCCGACCTGTTCAACCTATACAGCGAGGCAGTTCTAAGAGAATTTGAAACCCTACCGCGATTTAGCATTGGCATCTATAATTTTCACAATATAAGATATGCAGAAAACACATCACTGAGAGCAGACAAAGAAAAGAAATTACAAAATCTCCCACAGAAGGTAATGACGGAGAGTGTGAAGAAGGGACTAAGTATAAACTACAAGAAGACAAAAGGCATGCTCATCAGTAAAAGGATGAGCCTGAAATGCAATTTTGCAGGTCGGGAACACTAGAATCAAGCAGACGCGGCAGTTTAAATATCTGGGATTCGTTTTGACAGAGGACGGTAAGTGCGAGAGTGGGATCCGTAGACGTATTGGGATGGCCAAGGACACATTCCACAACTGGGTAGAGTATTGCGAGACGGGGGATTTATTTGGTAACAAAGGAAAGAACACTGAACTATTACGTGACATCTGTTCTTCTTTACGGCAGCGAATGTTGGAAGATTTCCTCAAATATGAAGAAGAGACTCCAGGCGACGGAGATGCGGTTCTACAGAAGGATGCTACGGATATCCTGGACCGAGCATGTGAGCACCGATGAGGTCTTAGAGAGGATGCAAACGAGGAGAAGACTTCAGAAAGAATCAGCTGAAGTTTTTGGGACAAATAATGAAGAAAGACGGCCTGGAGAATCTAATACTCGCGTGTCGAATAGAGAGAAAGAGAGACAATGGAAAACAACGCATGATATACCTAGCGGGTTTAAGCAAGGGGATGACAGAATGTGCTCTGGGAGAGTGAGTAGAAGGAACGAACTTGTTGTGAGCTGCAAGGGATAGAGGGAGTTTGAGAGCCATGATCGCCTATGTCCTGAAAGGACATGACACATAAAAAGAAAAGAATGAAATGAGTAGAATGGTTTGAATGAATTAACGTACAGAGTGGGCATACAGTTTGTTGCTATCGTTAAATTTTTGTAAGGCAATGTTCTTATTAGTGATTTCTATCTTTATAATCGTGACCTTCCTTTTTACGGCTCTACATATTCACCACTGAGATATACATTATTTTACTCAGACAGTATCTAAAAGAACCAACTGTATGATCAGTTAACATATTTTTTTTTCAGTTTTCTTGTGTGCATATGCCAACTGGGCAGTGACAAAAATTGCTCACTTCACCATTATTTATTAAGAAATATACGTATTTACTTTCGTTTACCGCCCTGAATGTTTGAGAAATCTTACTAAAGAAAATTAGGACTCTCCAGAATGAATCGTATCTGCGTCCCTCAGGACAGAGCGAGTTACGGTTTATCCCGGTACGCCTTACCGACGTGGCCACGAAAAACAGTCAGGCGAGGCCAAATTTGGTGCTTTCAAGGGAATCTTTTTATGCCATAGATCTCACAGACTCGTAGCCAAACGTAAACAAAGATAATTTTAGAATGGGTTATTTATTAATCCGATAGATTCTTATCATTTTAAATGATTTTTTTTAGTGGATACTGGTATTTGAGCAGGTGGCCCGTTTATTTACGAAAACATTACTTTCATTAAATTTCAGGCGAGTAGACGAAAATAAATAAATATACTGAATTTAATTCTTATCTGGAAAGAGGATCTAGATTCATAGAAATTGCATTGTAGCGTCCTATAAGGACACTGTTCACAAATAACATCTTACAGTTGGAAAATACTCGTTGCGTTGTGTTCCTAAAAGAATTGATAACTTGAGCAGAATAATGAAGAGGAACTCTTCTCCTGATCTTGTAATAAGGAAAATAATAACAATGACTGGAGACTCGGCCAATCAGAATTTCATTAAATCCACGAAAGAGAGAACATTTCCCTGTGTAAATAGGCTTATGGCCTTATCACATACAAACACAGGGTTCTCGTACGAACACCGCAGTTAAGGAACGTCAAGCCGGGTTAGTAACTAAATGAATGACCTCTTGGGAATACCATATGATGTAAGCTTGGATATACATGTGGTTTAATAGATAAAGGTTCGGAATTAGAAAACGGAGTTCCAATTCCAGTCGAGTTCGTTATAATCACCTACATGCAATTACCCTAGGGAAAGTTATAGATTCAAACATTCCCCCACCCAGCTAGGGTTAAATTGATAGGAATTGTTCGACAAAGTACGCCACAAGGATCTGACAGAATTGTTCAGCAACCTTGATATATTTGGGAGGGATATCAGAATAATCAAGAACCTATACTGGCAGCAAACAGCATGCATACGGATAGAGAACGATTTCAGTGAATATACGAAAATAGAAAGGGGGATTAAGGCAAGGATGCGTCTTCTCACCGGACCTGTTCAACCTATACAATGAGGCAATACTGAGAGAATTGGAAACCCTACGGGATTTAGCATTGGCGGCCACAATCTTAACAACATAAGATACGCAGATGACAAAGTAATGATAGCAGACAAGGAAAAGAAATTACAAAACTTCCTAAGGAAGGCAGCGAAGGAGAGCTAGAAGAAGGGACTAAGCATAAACTACAAGAAGACAGAATGCATTGTCATCAGTAAAAGGAAAAGCCCGAAATGCGATGTACAAGTCGAGGATGCTAAAATTAAGCAGGCGTGGAAGTTTAAATATCTGGGATGTGTTCTGACGGAGGACGGTAAGTGCGACACTGAGATCAGAAGACGAATTGGGATGGCCAAAGACGCGTTCCCAAAGCCAGGCAAAGTATTGCGAGACAGAATGATTTCTTTGGTAACAAAGAAAAGAATACTGAACTGTTACGTGACATCTGTCCTTCTTTACGGCAGCGAATGTTGGACGATTTCCTCAAAGATGAAGAAGAGACTCAAGGTGACAGAGGTGTGGTTCTATAGAAGGATGCTAAGGATATCATGGACCAAGCGTGTGAGCAAACGATGAGGTCTTAGAGAGGATGCAAACAAGCGGGAGGCTTATACTTAATATCAGGAAGAGGCAGCTGCAGTTTCTGGGACATATAATGAGGAAGAATGGCCTGGTGATTCTGATACTCACGGGTCGAATAGCGAGAAAGAGAAACAAGGGAAAGCAGAACGTGACATTCCTGGCGAGCTTAAGCAAGTGGATGACAAAACATGGTCTGAGGATGTAGCAGGAGGGAAGGATCAAGAGATAAAGGGAGGTGAAGAACTATGAGCGTATATATCCTGAAAGGACATGGCTCATAAAAAGAGGGATTAGAAAATTGCTATTATTTAAAAGAATAATTAAAACAATCTAAAAACTTTTTCTGGATTTAAATAACAATAATAATAGGTTCATAAATCATTTACACTATTTACATTTTTCGGACTGCTGTTCATATTTACATGGTTCCATCCGTTGTACGCGCCGGCTTTCTATAGTCCAAACAATGTAAATAGCATAAATAGTTACAATACCTCATCTCAGAAACAGAGACAGATATTGAAGGTGAATATGGCAATAAAGATCAGGACAACAGTCCAAACAATGTAAATAGTGTAAATATTTACAATACCTCATCTCAGAAATATACACAGATGTTGAAGGTGAATATGGCAATCAAGATCAGGACAACAGTCTAAACAATGTAAATAGTTTAAATATTTACAATACCTCATCTCAGAAATAGAGACAGATATTGAAGGTGAATATGGCAATAAAGATCAGGACAACAGTCCAAACAATGTAAATAGTGTAAATATTTACAATACCTCATCTCAGAAATATACACAGATGTTGAAGGTGAATATGGCAATAAAGA